TTGTATATTCTCTATGGTCCACCCACCAAATATGTTCATGTCCTAATCCCCAGAACCTGAGAATGTTACCTTATATGGCAAAAGGGACTTTGCATGCCTGGGCCACATAGCAAGACCCTGTCTCCAAAAAAAAGTAAAATCAAGTAAAAATAAAAATTTAGCTAGGTATGGTGCCATGTGCCTGGAGTCCCAGCTACTTGGAAGGCTGAGACAGGAGTTTTGCTTGAGCCTAGGGGTTCGAGGCTTCAGTGAGCTATGATTGTGCCACTGCATTCCAGCCTGGGTGACAGAGCAAGACCACATCTCTTTAAAATAAAAAGGAGCGGAGGCTTTGCAGATGTGATTAAATTGAGGATTTTGAGATGGGAAAATTATCCTGGTGGGCCTGATTTAATCACAATGGTCCTTATAAGAAGGATGCAGGTAGAGTCAGAGAAACAAACAGTTTAGAGTTGGTAGCAGAGATTGGAGTCATATGACTATGTGTCAAAGAATGCCAACAGTCTCTAAAAGCTAGAAGAAACAAGAATCAAATTGTCCCCTGAAGCCTCCAGAAGATACCATCCCTTCTGACACATTGATATCCCTTTGAGACTGATTTCCAGCTTCTGACTTCTAGAACTGTAAGAGAATAAATGTAATAAAATGTGTGTTGTTTCATTCCACCAATTTCATAGTAATTTGATATTGCAGCTGTAGGAAACTAATATACTTTCCCTGTGTCTCATTGTCAACCATGACTTCATTTACTGTCTGTTTACACTAAAGACTAAATGTATATGATTTATTTACATCATATGTACTTTTCACTTAAGAAATTCAACACATATACATGACAGCTACAAATGGTAGAGAGTTTTTAAAAAAAACAGTTAAAAATGCAAGTTAATATTCTCATTCTTCTACTTAGTGATCATTTGGTACTCAACTAAAGGAATAGTAGTTTGTTCTAGTGCTAGAGGATTGGCTTATTAAGAGATAGTGTGTGGGTCTCCTTTGGAGGGGAGCTTCCTAAATTAGAATTTCCAAAGATGATTTTTATTATTTGCAATTTTTGCCTAACAGTGACTTTAGGACCTGTTCTTCATAAAAGATGTGATTCTGTATCTTTTACTTGAATTCTAGATGCTTAGCTTTATCCAGGACATCTACATCTTGAATTTTGCACAGGCATCTCAAATCCAGCAAATCCAAAACAATGTTATGATGATGATTTCCTCCACAACTTCACTTAATTTTCCTTTTTTTTCCTGAGACAGAGTTTCACTCATTGCCCAGATTGTAGTGCAATGGCACGATCTCAGCTCATTGCACCCTCTGCCTCCCAGGTTCAAGCGATTCTCCTGCCTCAGCCTCCCAAGTAGCTGGGATTACAGGTATGCACCAGCATGCCTAACTAATTTTGTATTTTTAGTAAAGACTGGGTTTCTCCGTGTTGGTCAGGCTGGTCTCAAACTCCCAACCTCAGGTGATCCGCTCGCCTTGGCTTCCCAAGTGCTGGGATTATAGGTGTGAGCCACCACGCCACGCCTGGCCACACTTATTTTCCTTCACCAACATCCAGCCAGTTATCTAAGCCAGAAACCTATGTATTATTCTTGTCTCCTCCCTCTCTTAGGCCTATCAGCTAATCATTAAATCCTAGTATTTGTTTTCCTCTTAATTTCCATCCTTGCTGCAGCTATTGCTATTGTCCTGCCTTCTAACTGATTGATCTTCCTGTCATCAGTCTCAATTTGTTCTCCATGTTGGGTATATGTTGCAAAAGTCTAAACTTCCCAGCATGCCGTAGAGTCCGTTATATTAATCTCTGTTCACTTCATTCTTTGGTATTCATAGTTTTATCAGTCCCTTCCTGACCCAATCTCTAGCTGTACATAAACTCTATATTTTAGTGTTTCTCAACTGCTTGCAATCCCTAAATGTTTTTTCTCTGTTTTATAGTTAAGGTTCTGTCTGCCTAGACTATTTCTTCTGCTTTCCCATCTGTGCCTTTTCTGTCCCTGCCCCACCCCCAACACCCTTTGCGTATTTAAGTCCTGTTTATCCTTCAGGTGGCAGTTTAACCATCATTTTCTCTGAGGAGTATTATCTGAACTCACAAGTTTAGTTAAGTACTAATTCTATGATGTCTTAGAGCTCCCTCTGTTACCTCATCATTATGTTCTTGGAAACTGCTACTTTAAGAGAAACAATGTGTAACAAAACCAGTTTTAACCATAGGCTAATTGATATAAAACAAGAGTTAAAAAAAAAAATCACATTTCTAAATAAAGACCTAAGCATTTCTAATATTAATCATTAAAATAAATTTGAGCTATACACACATTTAAGGAAGGTGAATAAAAACAAATAAGATACTCATCCACTAATTTCAGTTCAGGATCAAGAGTGGCCAGAGCCTGTCCCGGTAGCTCAGAGCACAAAACAGGAAACAGCCCTGAACAGGATGCCATCACAGTGCAGGGCACACTGATAACCACACTCACTCATACTGGGGCCATGTAACATGCCAGTTCAGCTCACATGCATATCTTTGAGATGTGGGAGGAAACTGGAGTAACTCAGAGAAAACCCATGTGAACATGAGGAGAATGTGCAGACTCTACACAGACAGTATCTGTGGCCGGGAATCAGTACTGTTTTTTCTTTTTCATCAACAGATAACGAAATGACTTGAACAAACCAATTTTGTTGAAAGACCTGCTGTACTTACTATGCTTCATCATGATGGCTTGTTTACTTGTCTGTGTTTCTCTTTAGACTTAAGTTCTTCAAGATCAGGAACTGTTTCTTCACCTGTGTGTTTTTACAGGATAACACAGTGCTTAGCATGTAATAGACACCTGATATAATAGATACTTGGTAAACATCTGTGGACTCATTTGATTATGGGATTGTATAGAATTTTTTTTTGAGGCAGAGTCTTGCACTGTCGCGCAGGCTGGAGTGCAATAGTGCAATCTTGGCTCACCATAACCTCCGCCTCCTGGGTTCACGCAATTCTCCTGCCTCAGCCTCTCAAGTAGCTGGGATTATAGGTGCACAACACCACACCCCGCTAATTTTTTATATTTTTAGTAGAAACGGGGTTTCACTACGTTGGCCAGACTGGTCTTGAACTCATGACCCCGTGACCCACCCACCTTGACCTCCCAAAGTGCTGGGATTACAGGCATGAGCCACCACGCCCAGCCTAGAAATGTAAAAGCAATGCACAGCAGCATCTCCATAAGCAGTATAGTATTTTATATATTTTTTTCTTATGAAATAGTCTTTGGGTTTTAAATGTAGCCATCATGGACAATGTCAGAATTACCAAAAAATGATGACTTTTGTAGCTTTATGATACTTCTCACTTCTTTCATACTTTTGAATAATACTATTGCAGACTTTATCTTACAGCAATATTAACTAAAATGTATGTATGAAATTCTGTCAGTAAGACAGCTTTCTATGTGATTTGGGTTATTAGCACTCCAAAGTTGTTCATGAAAGAATGGAAATGTATTGCAAATCTAAGTAATTGCCAATTGTAATTTTTTTCTGTAATAAATAGCTGTATAGCTATTATGTTATAGATTTTAGAATAGCAGAATGCTTGGTATGTAAACCGCATTATTTTATTTAGCTAAACTTGTTCAATTCTATTTATTTTGGAAATAAAAGCAATTCAAAAATAGGAATCAACTAGACTTTAAGGCATTTTTAAATAGTGTAGATATTGTTACATTTTATTATTTCAATTACTGGGAGTTGAGGGGTGGCAAAATAAGAAGCACTGGTGGAAATAAATTTGGGAAGATGAAGAATTCATGGCTTTTCAACCAAAATTTAAGCTACTGGTTATGTGATACTATACCACATTTAAAAGTTATGACGTGGTTGCCACGACTGTACCGCACTTAATAGGTACTAATATGTGAAAGAATTCAAGTGATATGCTAAATGTTTAATTTCCTTTTCAATCCTGTGTTGGATGATCAGTGAAAACAAAAGTATCTGGCAGATATAGGCAATATTGTTAAGAAAGCTTTTCCTTACAGTCCTGCTGCGTCTCACTACACCTCCCACTCCCCAATGCACAGTTATTTCTCCATGCATAGAAAAGTACCTCACATGTACCTTTTTCCTAGAAATTACCGTTTGCATTCAAACTATTGGCATTGAAATTATCGTTTATATGTCTGCCTTCTCGCAATAAACTATAAAATCTTGAAAGCAAGTTATTATTGGGTCTGGCATTGTGCGTAAGACATAATATGTTTCATAGTAGATACTTTGTGAATTGAGAATGGGAATTAAATTTTTTTTTTTTTTTTTTTTTGAGATAGGCAATTCTTGTTGCCCACACTGGAATGCAATGGTGTGATCTTGGCTCACTGCAACCTCCGCCTCTTGGGTTCAAGTGATTCTCCTGCCTCAGCCTTCTGAGTAGCTGGGATTACAGGTGTCTGCCATCATGCCTGGCTGATTTTTATACTTTTAGTAGAGATGGGGTTTCACCATGTTGGCCAGGCTGGTCTTGAACTCCTGACCTCAGGTGATCCACCTGCCTCGGCCTCCCAAAGTGCTGGGATTACAGGCATGAGCCACTGTGCCTGGCCTCAACTGAGCTTTTTAAACATAGTCATGCTAATTTGTAGTTAATAAGTATTAACTCCTGTTAGATCTTTCGAACTTCTTTTTAGAGTATTTTATTGCTTGGGTATTTACCAGAATAACAAAAAATGGGTTTTTTTTGTTTGTGTTTTGAGACAGTCTTCGTTGTCCAGGCTGAAGTGCAGTGTGGCAGACTCTCAACTCACTGCAACCTCTGCCTGCTGGGTTCAAGTGATTCTTGTGCCTCAGCCTCCCGAATAGCTGGGGTTACAGGTGTGTGCCACCACACCCAGCTAATTTTCTATTTTTAGTAGAGACGGGTTTCACCATGTTGACCAGGCCGATCTCAAACTCCTGACCTCAAGTGATCTGCTTGCCTGAGCCTCCCAAAGGTTTCTCCAAGGTTCTTGATCTCCTGCTCTCTCAAGAATGAGAGAGGGGAACAGGTGCGCTCGCAAAGTAAATACTAGACCCCAAATAGTTTTTTTTGCAGGAAGTGAATATATTTAGGTAAAGAAAAGGGGAAAAAAAGGAGAAGAAGAGAGAAAACTTCCACAAAGAGTGTGGAAGGAGACTCCAGAGGGGAAATCCGCCCTGATGAGGGAGACAGGGACTTTTAACCTGGAAGGAATTCTGTCCTTCTCCAAGTCCCTTGGCCAATGAAAAGAGTTCCCGAAAACTTCTGCTGGAGTGATTAACCTTTGGTTCTTCCTGCATGCGTGAAAATTTAAAACAGAGACCTTTAAACCTCCTGGGTGGAGAGAGATGGGAGCGAGGGCATGGTGCTGGGAAGTTCTTGCCCTTGAAACTACACCCCCTAGTGCACCCGGAAAGAGGACACCTTCCCTCATTGCCCCCTCTGAACAGGAAAGTTCAACTTCTGTTGGAACATGGGTGTCGATCACTCTGTAGCTACTTCCTGCTGAAATGGGGCATAGAAGAGGCCGTGAAGTTGAGGTTTCCTCCAGCGGGGAGCCTTTTTGGGGTGCAGGTTGATCCTGAGGTCCACGATAGAGCCCACGAGCCAAGGACATCCGGGATTCCAGTGGCAGGACTAATTGTGACCTTATGGTTCTAGATGAAATGAATGTGACAAGGTGGCTAAAGATGAGAGGCCCAGAGGCCAACAAATATAGAATGGTTATAAACGAGCCTAGGAGAGACTAGAGCCAGGATAGTCAGTTGTTAAACAAGCTTCACAATACTGTTTCTTGAAGGTCTTTAGCCCTGTGTTTGATTGATTCCTGAGTTCTATGTTCAAAACAATACTTGACTGGTTTACAAAATAGCATTTTTCCTAGAAAGAGACAGACTCCCTTTCCACTATGAAAAGGATAATCAGGGTTGTCTCCTGGAACTTCAGGCTGCAGAGTGGAGGGTCTGTGACTTTCCTCAGGAGGTATCCAAGGCTTCAGCCGAGTGTGATGAATCCATGAGTTAATTCCCACCACCTTAACTGCCATTGGGGTAGACAGAATAACTGAAAATGGTCCTTCCCAGGATGGGCCTAGGGAGGGAGAGTCTGAGGGGAGAGAATTAACAAGCACCAAGTCTCCAGGGCAGGAGAGAAATACTGAGAAGGCCATGCCAGTGTTCAGGAGAAGATTAGCTTCCTGGACCTTTATGGTCAGCTTTACCTGGGGCTCTGTGAGGGTGATGGCTCCTGCTGGCACTTGCTCCAGGCACCCTCAGTCCTGCCATTGGATCATCTGGTCAGACAGCTCAGGCCCTTGGGCACCTTTGTCCCCTGGGATAGTGTGCTTTCCAGTGATTACCTTGGCACAGGGGGCATGGACGAGGTGGTGGTCCATTCCTTTGTGGACAATTTCTTATAAAATGTCTCTTCAGGCCACACTGGTAACAGGCTCTGCCAGACTGTCGGCTAACCTGAGCCTTTCCCTCATTTGAGCCCCAGGGGTCTGCCTGCCTGAAAGCCATGACTGAAGCAGCAGCCTTTCTCTGATCTCTCCTGTTCCCTTTAGCCGGTTCCTTTTGGTCTCTATTATAAAACACCGAGGTTGCCAGGTTCAGTAATGATTCTAGACTCTGTTCTGGTCCCAAGGCCAGTTTCTGGAGCTTCTGCCTGATATCTGCTGCTGACTAATAAACTTGTCCTGTAGTATTAACTGACCCTCAGTGGAGTCTGGTGATGGGGGGTGTACTTTCTTAAGGCCTTCCACAGTCGCTCAAGGAAAGCTGTTGGGTTTTTTTTTACCTTCCCTTTGGGGGCTAGGTTTTCCCACTCGGCCGTGGATGTTTCGGCTACTCTGTTTGGCAGAGAAAAATGAGCCTCTTCTTTAAAGACCATGTGGTAAATTGGTCGTAATTTTCCAGTATACATTTTAATGGGGACTTGATCTTGGGAAGATTGGCACCCACCTGAAATTGAACACGAGGGATGCCTGCACCCCCGGTTAAAGAAATTACAGCTGCTTCAACCTAAGGCATTCCTTAGGTAAAATGGGTACTGAAATGAAACGTCTTTTGGTCAGTACCCCAAAATTTCATGTGACCAGGATGCGTGATCCATGTTATCAGAGGGCCTCCCATGTACTGGGTTCAAATCACGACCTACCAGCGTCATAGGACTCACGCTCACTGTCTGCATGACCTCTAGTGACTACCATGAGGCATGGAATGAAAGGGGCTATCATGTTGGGTAGTAATCGTACCAATGAGCCTGATGAGGCCAGTGAGCCTTAGGAGATGGGTACCAATATTCCCCAGCAAAAGTCCAGTTTACATAGGCCAATTTATAAAACTACCCCAGAAGGGTAAACTTCTAGGGAGGGACCATTAGAGCACACAGTTCAAAGAAGCCAGGCCATGTGGCTGAGGCTGGAACAATACCCTCAGGACCTGGGCCTCCTCTCCCGACCCCACTTTCCATTGTAGGAAAACGCCCTTACAAATGCGAGACCTGCTGTTAACTATTTGGGCCCTAGAACTGGTTTAACTATGATCTTCTAGATCTAAAAGTTCTGCCGTAGAGAGAGAGCCAATCCTAAGCAAGACAAATTATACACCAAACACAAAGTCCCATAGCCTTCAGCTTCTGAATTTCCCAAAACGTTTCTCTAATTCACGACTGACTCCACCAGGGATTTGGACCAGCAACCATGCACTTGCAGGCCCTAGACCTTAACCAACTGTGCTAACAGGCCACTTGTGTTAAAGGAAGGCAGAAACCTTTCTTAAGCCATATCTGAATGCGAATGCTGCACCCTGAGAAAGTGTGGCCTGCTGAAAGCTGGGCAGGGCTGACAGCCAGCAGCGCTTCCCTTATCTCAGCTGGGAGAAAAAAAAGCCCCTTACCACTGTCAGTTTAAAAGCCACGTTTGCAACCGCGTGATTTTAAAAGCCAGGCCTCTGCGCTGCCCTGCTATGTGCCAGAGGGGAAGTCCTGCCCCGCCCCTTGGGGCGTTTCATTTTGCTGTGATGCCAGGACCATGTGTGCACTCTGAGCCACTCCCCCAGCCACTGCCTACACAGGGACTCGATGCTGGCAGGTGAACGCCCTGGAGGAAGTCCCCTTGTTCTGTCCCTGACTGCGATTTTATGCTGGCCCCGCCTCCAGAACCAAGCTACAGCCAGCAAAAGCACTTCCCCGCTTTGCTTTTCTCTCTCCTGGCAGTGCTGGCAGCTGCGGCTTGCTGTGCATGCCTGGCCCACCCTCAGGGCTGGGCTGTTCCCAGCAGGCAAGGAGGAAAGGCCTGTGGGGGAGTGCTTACCCTCTCCACCCCACAGGCTCCTGCAGGTTTTTGTCCCAGAGATAATAGCTGAGCCCAGCGGACAAGGAGCCAAGGAGCGAAAGGCCTGGGGAGGTGGTGGGGGGGAGTGCTCACCCTCTCCTCCCCACAGGCTCCTGTAATAGCCAAAGGATAGAGAAGGAGCAGAAAGCAGCGAGAGAGCTTGAAGGAAAAACTGCGCCTTTAATTCTCGCTGGCCCGCACTGCTTAAGACGGGATGGGCTACACCTGCTGCTCCAGTTCCCCGCAGCCCTGCCTGGCTGCGGCTGCTTCAGGTGTTCTTAAAGAGACAGGACAGAATGGAGCTGCTTTTACCTACAGTTAGAAGTTGTATTCTCCTGGCTGGCTCGCCAAAATGTTGGGGTTCGGGGAGCCCTGTGCTCCCCTACCAGGTGCACTTGCAAAGTAAATACCAGACCCCAGAGTTTTTGCAGAAAGTGAATTTATTTAGTTAGAGAAAGAGGAAAAAAGAGAAGAAGAGAGAAAACTTCCATGAAGAGTGTGGAAGGGGACTCCAGAGGGGAAATCCACCCAGATGAGGGAGGCAGGGACTTTTAACCTGGGAGGAATTCCCTTCTTCTCCAAGTCCCTTGGCCAATGAAAAGAGTTACCTTAAACTTCCACTGCAGTGATTGACCTTTGGTTCTTCTTGTGTGTGCAAAAATTTAAAACAGAGACAGTTAAACCTCCCAGATGGAGAGAGATGGGGTGGGGGCATGGTGCTGGGAAGTTCTTGCCCTTGAAACTACGCCCCCTGGTGGACCCAGAAAGAGGACACATTCCCTTAATACTTAATAAAAAGTGATCGACTTAGGCTTTTGGGTAACTGTTAATAATTTATCAGGGAAGCTAGTAGGAGTTTTAATTACTCATTCAGTTTTAGTAGCCTGCAGTTTTATTGACTGGATTTGGATGAATCTTATAGTAAATGATTGTTGAGTTTTTCCTAAACAGTATGAAGGCCTATACAAGAATAAATTGAATAACAAGCAGACTATTTTCTTCATTAAGCTAACTACTATGAAATTTGTGTGCGTGTGTGTGTATCTGTGTGTATGCACGTGTACCTGTGTGTGTTGTAATTTACTTCTTTGTGGCCTTTTGTGCTTTTATGCATATATTTTTTATGTTACATTTCTGAGCTGATATTTTGTTCCTTTGTTTTAAAACTCTATTGGAATTTTCTATTAATTTTAAGCAAATTATCAAGTACATGAAGCTTGTAGACATCCATTTTAAAAATTGTTTTTTGAAGTGACACTGCTTTGCTGATGAGTACACAATATTTTCAGTTTTTTTTTTTATTAGCAAATCATCTCCTCCAGTTGCAGTGGCTCACGCCTGTAATCCCAGCACTTTGGGAGGCCGAGGCAGGTGAATCACTTGAGGTCAGGAGTTCAAGACCAGCCTGGCTAACATGGCAAAATCACATCTGTACTAAAATACAAAAATTAGCTGGGTGTGGTGGTGGGTGCCTGTAATCCCAGCTACTGGAGAGGCTGAGGCAGGAGAATCGCATGAACCTGGGAGGCAGAAGTTGCGGTGAGCCAAGATCAAGCCATTGCACTCTAGCCTGGGCAGCAAGCCTGGGTGACAAGAGTGAAAGAAACTCCCATCTCAAAACCAAATCAAAACAAAAAAATAATCTCTGGTTACAGTCATTTATTACTAAATTTTTCCTTGATTTGTATCTGATTTCAGAAAAATGATTATACTAGAACAGGCCATAGGTAACTAACTTTATCTACTGTAGTTGTTCAGGAAAATGAATTGTTTATAGTTATTTTTAATTTGAACCCTTTCTTTCAGTTGAATCTAATCTAGCAACTTCAGTTTCTCAAAAGTAATAATAATGATCATTGCTAATAATTTTGCTTCTAATAGGCAAGGAACTATACAAAGTGCTTAACATTTACATCTCATTTAAGTTTCTCGGCAGCTCGACAAGGTGATACCTTGGCTTACTAAAGATGAGGTAGACAACATATTCTGATCATAGGAATGGTCACCTGTCAAGCCATGCTATGGTGTCCTCTATGAAGAGGTGGTTCACAGGCCCCATGACAAGAATCTTAGTTCACTAAAGCTAAATAAACAGTAGTAGTCTGACAGTGGTACTGGTCAGGTCAGACAACAGTGTTTTCCACCAAATTGTAAATCCTAGGCCCAAATGGAGCTCTGAACAGTGTGTGTTACTGTAAAAGTCTGGGCTGCTGAACCTGCTAAATCGTACAGCCTTGTCTAGTGGTGCCCAAGCAGGTTTTCTAGCTAACCATATATTTCAAATGCCACTCATTTCATTAAGGAAAATAATTTCAATGTTGATTTATACCAGTCAGAAAAACCCTTTGATATAAATTTTGAAAATGGTGTTTGAAGTTCATATTCATAAATAACCACTTCTCGTGAGTGTCGTAACTATCTCTAGTGTTTGATTAAAAATAACTTGTACTGTTAATACTGAAGATTATTTTTCTTACTTCAACAGCTGGACCAGCTAACATTCATTGAGCTTTGACCAAGTGCCAAGCACTTACTAAGGTTTTAATGTACATTATCTGATTTAATCCTCACCATAATCATATGTCATAAGTAAAAATATAGTGAACATTACTTTTCAATGTAATATTTTGAATAATGCAGTCATAGAGTTTTTTGTGTGTTTGTTTGTTTGTTTTTGAGACAGAATCTTACTGTATCACCGAGACAAAAGTTGAGTGGCACAATATCGGCTCACTGCAACTTCCACCACCCAGATTCAAATGATTCTTCTGCCTTAGCCTCCCAAGTGGCTGGGATTACGGGCATGTGCTGCCATGCCCAGCTAATTTTTGTATTTTTAGTAGCGATGGGGTTTCACCATGTTGGCCAGGCTGGTCTCGATCTTCCTACCTCAAGTAATTTGCCCACCTCGGCCTCCCAAAGTGCTGGCATTACAGGCATGAGCCATCGCGCCTGGCTGACTTATGTATATATAAAATAAATTCTCAGAGCCTCCATCTCTGTCCCATATACTCATTTACCACTGCTTCCCCCACTTCCAAAAAAATCATTATTAGTTTCTTATACTTGGAGTTTGTTTATGCATATTTAAGAAAATACATTATTTTCCCCCATTTTTTCGCAGAGGAGGCATACTAATCATAATTTTCATTTTGCTTTCAATTTTTTAACATTTTACTAAAATTTTCACACATGCAGAAAAGTTAAGTGGAGTATGGTGAATCTATAAACCTACCACCTCGATTTAACATGGTTAGTAGGTTAGTGTTTTGCTGGTTTTTGCTTATTTTGCATATATATGTATATAAATGAGCAGAATGCATATATATGAGAGTGTGTGTATATATATATATATATATATATATATGCAAAAGACAAACACATATATTGACCTAAGCCATTTGAAAATCAGTTATAAATATCATGGTATTCCATCCCTAAATACTTTTTTTTTTTAAATAGGAGACAGAGTCTTGCTCTGTCTCCCAGGCTGGAGTGTGTGGTGCGATCATGGCTCACTGCAGCCTCCACCTCCTGGGCTCATGTGATACTCACCTCAGCGTCCCAAGTAGCTGGGACCATAGGCATGTGCCACCACGCCCAGCTAATTTTTGTACTTGTTGGCAGAGATGGGATCTCGCCTTGTTGCCCAGTCTGGTTTTGAACTCTTGGACTTAAGGAATCCACCTGCCTCAGTCTCCCAAAGAACTGGGATTACAGGTGTGACATCATGCCTGGGAATACTTTCATTTTTTAAGGTAAACTACCACTCAATCAATTAAGGATTTAAACTAAAAGAGTTGCATGATTGGATATAATTACTGGTTGAGGTTCATGGTGCCTTTGAAGAAGAAAAGACTAGAGGCAGAGAGGCCAATTATTAATAAATGATTAATAAGTGTACAGGCATATCTTGGAGATTCTGCAGGTTTGGTTCCAGACCACCACTTTATTGTGCAAATCTCATGGTAAAGTGAGTCACACAATTTTTTTTTGGTTTCCTAGTGCATATAAAAATTATTTTTCCACCACACTGTAGACTATTAAGTGTGCAATAGCATTAAGTCTAAAAAGCAATATACATACCCTACTTTAAAAATCCTTTACTGCTAAGCGTGTTAGCGATCATCTGAGCCTTCAGAGGGGATCTCTTTCCTCTCTTGCCATCTGATGAATTGGTCCTGCTTGTTACTAGAGGGAAAGAAGTGAACATTTGTTTCTCTGTACACCAGCTACTTCATGCCAATTACTTAACTAGTTATTTAATTCTACTAGTAATTCTTTGAGATATTATTATCCTTATTTTTGCAGATGAGGAAATTGAAGTGCAGAGTTGTGAAATAATTTGTTTAAGATTATATTGCTCTTAAGTGGCAGATCTGGAATTTTACATGAATCTGGCTAACTCTGAAGTTACTACGTGACTCTTTTCCAGTTTGTTTCATGAAGTGAAAAAAATTTGAATGCTGGTGATTTTTGTTTTCTTCTGCTTGTATTCGTTATTCTTAAAGATGTGATCATCAGCTTTTCAGAAAACAGTACGTCAGTCTTTTCACAAATACGTCACTCTAAGGCACTTTATCTTTGAATTGAAGTATGCAGCATGTACCAACTAGCTTTCCCGTTGATGTAATGTTGCCAAACAATGAAATATCATGCCCTATAATTTCAGTATATTTTTTCAATTCACTTTTTATTTTGTTTTAAATGTATTTTTGATACAAATGTAATCCCAGTGGTTTTAGAGCTGATATAGAGAAATTTTAAACCAAAAAAATCCTAAACTGAAGCAAAAAGTGACAAGTTGGAATACTTCAAAATGATCAGAAAACGCATAGCCATCTTTTAAAAGAAAATTAGGAGGCTGCCTATCCAAGATGACACAGTAGCATTAGAGCAGTTGTGAAGCAAATCATCTAATGGCTTCTTGACTCCATCGGACCTTCAAAAAAAATTATCCTGCTCTTAAAGACCACCTTTTTAAAAGATGTCGCTTTTAAAAAGTGGCATCTTGATTTATTTGAAAGTAGTAAACACTCAAGCTATAACACTCCCAACCTTAGTCAATATAAAACAGACATCATACAACTTAAATTCTCATGTAGTAGTCCTTAGAGAAGCGCTTGAATAGAGAATTGCTTATCAAGCTGTATTAGTCAGGATACTAAACCCTTAATACCTATAGCTTAAAATAACAGAGATTTATTTCTTGTTCATGCTGTATATCCCTTATGGGACAGTCAGGAATGCTACTGCATGTATTCTCACTTGGGAACTCAGGCAAACCACTGTTGGTTGCTGGGATGTATGAAAAGACGCAGTTAGGCATTGACTTCTAAAGCTGCTGGTTAATGTCATTTCCCCTCATATTTCACTAATTTAAGTAAGTTACATTCCTTCACCTAACCAGAAGTGGCAATGGGAGTGTAGTCTCAAAATATGGTTAGTAGGAGAATGTGATGATTAATACTGAGTGTCAACTTGATTAGATTGAAGGATGCAAGGTATTGATCATTGGTGTGTTTGTGAGGGTGTTGCCAAAGGAGATTAACATTTGAGTCAGTGGGCTGCGAAAGGCAGACCCACCAGTAATCTGGGTGGGCACCATCTAATCAGCTGCCAGTGCAGCTAGAATATAAAGCAGGCTGAAAAACGTGGAGACAGTAGACTGGCCTAGCTCCATACATCTTTCTCCCATGCTGTATGCTTCCTGCCCTTGAACATTGGACTTCAAGTTCTTCAGTTTTGGGACTCAGACTGGCTTTCCTTGCTCCTCAGCTTGCAGATGGCTTACTGTGGGACCTTGTGATTTTATGAGTTAATACTAAATGAACTATATATATATATATATCTTGTTAGTTCTGTCCCTCTAGAAAACCCTAATACAGAGAAGAACTGGAATATGGATGCCCAGCTAGCATGACTAACAAATAAGCCTTTTGAGGAATATTTAGACTTATGCATGATTGATTGGTAGAATTATTTTTAAAAAATGCCTAGTAGCTTTGAAGTAATCCTGTTTTGATTGAATGAAGGATCTTGATACTGAAAGGTGAACTAGGCAGTTTAGCGAAAAATGTCCAGTAGAGGAGTAAACTGGTTCATTGGACATCCTTTTCCTTGTGTTTTGTCTGTTAAATTTCCATAAGTATATTAAAGATTTGCTCTTATGTGCTTGCTTATAACATAAATCTATTAATAAAGATTCACAATTATCAACTATTTTTATGTAAAACACATGTTGAATAATGATGCTATGCAAAGTCTAAAAAATCAAGAGGTTAGTAATTGGTAGGACATACAACAAAAACTATCACATATTTTGTATTACATTGAAAAGCACTAGTCATTTTTAAAAAGTATATAATTTGGGAAAATTTGCTCCATGAGGCAGTACAAATGAATAATCATACTGAAGTTCAACAGCTTCAGTCTGGACTTCTAAAATTTTCCGAGGAGATGAGTGATTAATAAATACAAACGTGGTATTTTTACGTACATACATGAAGAGGCTATCTCTAGGCAGAGTTATAAATCTTTGTGTGCATGTCTTTATTGGTGTTGTAAAGTAGGGTTTATCTGTTTCTTCACAAGACATGCTCTTTTTAAAATATTGTGGTGGATTATACATACTATGAAATTTACCTTTTTAAACATTTTTAAGCATAATTCATTGACATTAAGTACATTCACATTGTTGTGCAACAATAACTGTTGTATATCTCCAGAACTTTTTCATCTTCTAAAACTAAAGTCTGTACCCATTAAACAATAACTCTCTGTTCTCCTCTCCCATAAGCCCCTGGCAACCACCATTTTACTTTCTGTTTCTATGAGTTTGACTACTTTAGATACCCCATTTAAATATAATTATATACTGTTCTTTTGTGATTGGCCTATTTTACTTATCACAGTGTTTTCATGGTTCATCCATGGTGCAGCATATGTCATCATCTGCTTCCATTTTATGGCAAAATAATAGTTGTATGTATGTACGTTTTGTTTACACATTCATCTGCCAGTGGACAGTAGGGTTGCTTCTATCTTTTGGCTGCTGTGAATAATGCTGCTGTAATCATGAGTGTACAAATATCTGTTCTAGTATCCATTTTTGTTTGAATATAAATCCCAAAGTGAAGCTGCTGGTAATGGTTGCACAACAATGTTAATGTACTTAATGCCAATATGGTAATTTTATTTTAAATGTTTTGAGGAATCACCCTACTGTTTTCTGTAATGGCTATATCATTTTACATTTCTACCAGCAGTGAACAAGTGTTCCAATTTCTTCACATCCTTGCGAGTCCTTGCTACTTTTTGTTTGATTTTTGTGTTTTTTTGTGGTGATAATAGCTATCTTAATGGAGATGAAATAGTATCTCCTGGTTTTCTTTTTCATTTTCCTAGCATTAGTTTGCATGTTTTTATACAGATATATGATTTCAGCTATTTGGGCAAATACCTAGGAGCACAGTTGCTGATCATATGTTAAAACTATGTTTTAGCTTTGTAGGAAACTGCCAGACTGTTTTCCAAATTGGCCGTACCATTTTGCATTCCCACCAACAATGAATGAGACTTCTGTTCTCTTCATCCTTTCTAGGATTTGTTGTAGTGTTTTTGATTTTAGCCATTCTAATAGGTGTGTAGTGCTATGTTCATTTTAATTTGTAATTTCCTAATGACATATAATATTGAGCACCTTTTCATATGCTTATTTGTCATCTGTGTATCTTTTTGGTAAGGTGTCTGTTTAGATCTTTTACCCACTTTTCAGTTGGGTTGTTTTCTTATTGTTGAGTTTTGTTGTTGTTGTTTTGAGATGGGGTCTCACTCTGTCGCCCAGGCTGGAGTGCAGTGACACAGTTTTGGCTCACTGCAATCTCTGCCTCTCTGGGCTCAAGTGATTCTTCTGCCACAGCCTCCTGAGTAGCTGGAATTAAAGGCACGTGCCACCACACCTGGCTAATTTTTTGTATTTTTAGTAGAGATGGGATTTTATCATGTTGGCCAGGCTGGTCTTGATATCCTGACCTTAAGTGATCTATCCGCCTCAGCCTCCCAAAGGGCTGGGATTACAGGCATGAGCTACTACACCCAGCATTGTTGAGTTTTAAGAGTTCTTTGTTTATTGTAGATACAGGTTCTTTATCAGAAATATGTTTTGCAGATATTTTCTCCTAGCATGTGGCTTGTTTTTTCATTCTTTTAGTATTAACAGTATCCTTCACAGAGCCAAAGCTGTTAATTTTAATGAAGTCCAACTTACTCATTTTCTTTTCATGGAACATTGTTTTGGCATTGTATCTAAAAACTCAGTACCAAACCCAAGGTCACCTAGATTTTCTCTTATATTATCTTTAAGAAATGTGATCGTTTTGCTTCTTACATTTCTAGGTCTATGAGCCATTTTCAGTTAATTTCTGTGAAAGGTGTATTGTCACTGTTTAGACTAATTTTTTGCATGTGGATATCTGGTTGTTCCAGCATCATTTATTGAAGAAAGTGTCTTTATTGGGTTGCCTTTCTTTCTCAAAAATCAGTTAACTGTATTTGAATGGTCTATTTCTGTTCCATTCATTTATTTATGTTATAGCTAATACAGTCTTGATTACTATAGCTGTGCAGTGTGTAGTAAGTCTTAAAGTCAGGTAATACCAGTCTTCTGACTTCATTCTTCAGTATTGCATTAGCTATTTTGAGTCTTTTGTTTTTCCATATGAATTTTAGAATCATACCTAGAATAAACCCCATTTGGTCGTGGTATGTAAATCTTTTTATGCATTGTTGAATTCAGTGCTAATATCTGTTAAGGATTTTAGCATCTATACTTACATACTTATAAGAGAATTAGTCTGTATTTTTCCTTTCCTGTAATGCCTTTATCTAGTTTTGATGTTTGGGTGATGCTGGTCCCATAGAATGAGTTACTGCATGCTTCTATTTCCTAGAAGAGATTGTAGAGATTTAGTGTCATTTCTTCCTTAAATGTTTGTTAGAATTCACCATGAAACCATCTGGACTTTGTGCATTTTTTTGGAAGGTTGTTTATTATTGATTCAATATCTTTAATAGATATAGGCCTGTCCAGATTATTGCTGTTTGTGAGAGTTTTAGTAATTCCTGTTTTTCAAATAATTAGCTCATTTCATTTAAGTTATCAAATTTGTGGGCTTAGAGTTGTTCATAGTATTTACCTGTTATCTTTTAATGTCCATGGGATCATGGATGACACCTGTTTCATTTTATATATTAGTGTTTTGTCTCTCTCTCTGTCTTTCTATATCTCTCTCTCACTCTGTTAGCCTGACTAGAGGTTTATCAGTTTTAATGCTCTTTTCAAAGAACAGCTTTTGGTTTTGTTTATTTTTCTTTACCGAATTCCTATTTTCAATTTCATTGATGTTTACTATAATTTTTTTTTGTCTTCTTCTTGCGTTAGGTTTATATTGCCCCTTTTTTTTTTCTAGTTTCCTATGGTGGAAGCTTAGATTACTGAACTAAATAATAATAATCTAAGCTTCCACCATAGGCAACTAGGGGGAAAAAAGCTTAGATTATTGAGCTAAATAATCTAAGCTTCCACTATAGGAACGCTTTCTTCTTTTCTAATATATGCATTCAGAGCTATATATTTTTCTCTAAGCACTGTTTTTGGTGCATCCCACAAATTTGGAACATTGTATTTTTATTTAGTTCAAAGTATTTTAAAATTTTTCTTGAGACTTTTTTGACCCATGAGTTATTTAGAAGTGTGTTGTTTGATCTCCAAATAATTGGAGATTTTCCAATTTTCTGTTACAGATTTCTATTTTAATTCCATTGCTGACTGAGAGCTTACATTGTGTGATTTCTATTCTTTTAAATTAGTTAAGGTATGTTTTATGTCCAAGAATGTGGCCTATCTTGGCAAATGTTTCACTTCAATTTGAGAAGAATGTGTCTTTTGCCGTTGTTAGATGAAGCAGTTGACAGATGCCAATTATATCCAGTTAATTGATTGTGCTGTTTAGTTCAACCATATTCTTACTGATACTCTGCCTATTGGCTCTGTCAGTTACTATTAGAAGAATTTAAAGTGTCCAACAACAATAATGCATTTCTCCTTGTAGTTTCATCAGTGTTTGCCTAGCATATTTTGACATTATTTTGTTAGGTACATACACATTAACGATTGTTATGTCTTGTTGGAGAACTGACCCCTATATCACTATGTATGCCTTTTTCATCCCTGATAATTTTTCTTGTTCTGAAGTCCCCTTTGTCTGACATTAATACAGCTATTGATGCAAGATTTGATTAGTGTTAACATGCATGTCTTTTTCCATCCCTTTACTTTTAATCTGTGTCTTTATATTTAAAAATGGGTTTCTTTTCAAAGTAACATGTAGTTGTCTTATTTTTTAATCTACTCTGATACTCTATTTTAATTGGCATATTTAGACCATTCACATTTAAAGTGATTATTAATATCGTTAATAGTAATATCTATTGTGCTTATATCATCTGCATTCCCCCTCCCTTTTCGGAATGATTTTTCTTTTGCTTTGTAAGCATTTTTTTCTTTATTCTAGAGATTAGTCTTTTATTTACTATGTGTTTTACTTATTATCTCTGATTTTTCCTTTATATGAATTTAGTTTGTATGCCTTTTGTTGTTCAGAGATTATTTTTCATTCATAATTTTCGTATTTTGCCTTAATTTGGAAGACTTTATCCACTCAAAAGTTATTAAAACAAACCTGTTTTATATATTATCCCAGTATTTTTTTTAACACATACATATACACACATTGCATTTGTATATATGCGTGTGTGTGTGTTTGTGTGTGTGTATGTGTGTGTAGATTTTTAAATCCATCTGAAATTCTCTAGTATATGATGTAATTCTTTTAGAAAGGGATTCAGACGTTGTTCTTCGATGAAAGGCTGGCCAGTTGTCTCAATATAATTTATTGAATAGTCCCCTCTTTCGCCACTGATTTAAAATTGTACTTTTGTGTAATATCTACAGATCTACATAGTCTGTTTTTATACTCTGATCTGTACTGTTTGTTTGATGTGTATGTCTGTGCCTGTGCATATACCATGATATTTTAATTACAGTAGTCTGTTATCTGGTAAGGAAATCTTTATTATTGCTTTTCAAATTTCCTTGGTTATTTTTTATAAAATTTTTCTTCCTCATGAGAATCACCTAGTTTTATAAAAATTCTATTTGGATTTTTTTATTACTATTGTATTTAATTTATAAGTTAATAATTGACATCTTTGTGGTAAATTTGCTTCTTGTTATTAATAAGACATGTCAAAGGACAGCAACAGAGTTTCTTCCATTAAGGCATTCCAAACCAGTACACTTACTCTTTTGTAGCCAAGGTAGCTCAATGATTTGAACTTGTTAAATGTTGACATTTCATATATTCTTTGTGTCTTGTAATATAATTACTGTCATCACCATGACATCTTTATTTCTTATTCTCCTTATTTTTACCTCATGTCTTATTTTACCTCATGTTTATTTATTTGGATAACCTGTTGCTATAAATGTAGGTACACTTTTTTTCTCTTTTACATTTTTCATCACACCCTTCAGTTTCTTTGTTACCATCCTCCAGTATCTTGCCCCCATTCTCCTACTTAGTACTCCTCAATTCCATTTCAGAGTCTGTTATGTGAGCATAATTACCCTTAACCCTCTTGCACAAATCTTTTTAATCTGTTGGATGACTCTCAGAGGATTAGTTTCAGTTTTTGGCTTGAGCTGTGTCCAGAGACACAACTGCTGTTAGTTACTACCACAGTTCTACCTGGTTCAGAAGAATGGGAAAAAGGATCCTTACTTTTTCCTCCTCTATGAGCGGGAGATGCTTACTTTTTACTGATTTGATCAGCTGAACATTTTGGTAATATCCAGTACTGTAGATGAAGATTAGAAATTATTGCAATAAATCTGGGAATAAAAGAATTTATGGTGTTCTAAAGAGATTTTAAATTATCTTCACTGTTGTTTTCTCTAATTTAAACAAAGCATTTGTGAGGTTTTTTTTTTTTTCTTTTTCTTTTACTCAGTCTTTCTTTCCAGAATGTTAAAATGGTCCCTTAGGCTGGGCTTGGTGTCTCACATCTGTAATCCCTGCACTTTGGGAGGCCGAGGTGAGAGGATCATTTGCGCCCAAGAATTTAAGACCAGCCTAGGCAACATGGTGAAACCATATCTCTACAGGAAAAAAAAACAAAAAACAAAACTAGCCGAGTGGGATGGTGTGTGCCTGTAGTTCTAGTTACTCAGGAGGCTGAGGTGGGAGGATTGCTTGAGCCGAGGAGGTCGTGGTTGCAGTGAACCATAAGTATGAGACTGCCCTCCAGCCTGGGTGATAAAGCCCTACTCTGTGTCAAAAAGTAAATAAAATAATAAAATGGTCCCTTGACCTTTTATCTTTAATTTTCCCATTAACAATTGGTTCTTTCTTTTTTCTGCCTAATGAATACAGTATGCTGAAGACAGTTTTAAATTTTCCTTATTGATTCAAGAGATTGAAAAGCTTCAAGTTTGTTAACTTAAAAGTTTTCAAAGGTTTAATATCAACACATTTCCTGTGTGAGGAAATTATTGTGGCATGGAGAATATGTATATATAATTTTATCATTTCAATTAGAATTTTCAGCAGTATTTCCTATGGCTTAGCATGGAAATAAATACTAATTTATTTCATGGAAATTTATGATTTAATGTGAATCTGGGTTAATTTAATTTGTAATAAATTGACAACAAACATAATTAGTTCTAATCAAAAGGCAAGGATTAAATGACTCCATAATGGTTTTTATAGGATTAGGACTTTTACTTTGTCTAAAAGTCCAACACATTATTTCTGGTCCTTTGAAATTACTGATGCAATTTTAATGTTCATAAAACCATATTCAGTTATTTATAGGGCTAGTTTTTAATCTATAGCTGGACACAAACCATTCTAATCGTTGCTTAAAACAACAATAGTCTTCTCTGTTTTGCTTGCAAGTGTACAATTTGGGCGGGTTTTGGCAGGGAGGTTTGTCTGCTCCATGTGGTGTCTGCTGGGAGAGCTTAACTTCCGTTGGAAGTTTGATGTTCAGTATACCTTACCCACATGGTAAGGTAAAATGGTATTGGTTGGTAAAATGGTATTGGCTATCAGTTCCTTTTCACATGGATCTCTCTGTGGGACAGCTTAATCTTTTTTACAACTTGGTGGCTGGGTTCCAAAAGTGAAACATCCTAAGAAACAATATTCTAAGAGACAGGAAGTGAAAAATACTAGTTTCTTAAGGTCTGACGCTGGAAACAACCGTAACTTCAGTTTGACTTTCTTATATTGATCAAGCAATCACAGAGCTCAGATTTTAGGAGAAAGGGATATAGACTTCAGCTGTTAGTGGGAGGGAAGAGTGTCAAAGAAATTTGGAGTCACAGTTTCAAACCGCTACAAGGAATACAGGAATTTTACTAACTTTATTCTTAGTTGATAGGTTAATTTGTTTCAAAAGGGGCATAGTGTTAGTAAGTTGGGTGAGTAGTGTTATTCAGATACTGTTTTTCAGTGAAAATTTTAAAAAATATTTTCACTAAGACTTTTTGAAAGTATATTTTGAAGTATTAAAATTTATAAGATCTGTGTGGAGAGAATTAGAAAACTGATGAAGGATATCAAAGAAGATCCTAATGGATACATGGATAGGAATACACTGTAAGCATCACCCATGAATGAAAAATGAATCAATTAAATTTCATTAAGATTAAAAGCTTCTGCTCTGTGAAAGACACCCTTAAGAGAATGCAAAGACAAGCCACAGACTAGGAGGATATATTTGCAAAACACATATGTAATAAAGAACTATATCTTCAGTATCAAATAATTTTTAAAATTCAACAGTAAGAAAACAAGCAACCCAATTAAAAAGTGGGCAAAAGATCTAAGCAGACACCTCACCAAAGAAGATATACAGATGACAAATAAGCATATGAAGATGTGTTCAACATCATATGTCATTCAGGAATTACAAATTAAAACAACAATGAAATAGTACTACACACCTGTTAGAATGGCTGCGATCCAAAATACCACACCAAATGCTGGCAAGGATGAAGAGAATAACAAGTCTCATTTATTGTTGGTGACAATGCAGAATGGTACAGCACTTTGGAAGACAGTCTGGCAGTCTCCTGTGAAGCTAAAATATAGTCTTAACATAACCAGTGGTTGTGCTCCTGGTTATTTACCCAAACGAGTGGCAAACTTAATGTCCACACAGAAACCTGCACATGAATGTTTTTAGCAAAATAACCCAAATGTTCATCAGTGGATGAAGAAGAAAGAAAGAAAATGTGGTGTGTATATATGGTTTTGAAAGATTTTTTTAAAGAAAAACAGATTATTGTGTGAGTTGGGTGATGATTGCATTGCATTTCCACAGGAGATTATTAAAACAAAGTAGAACTACCTTCAATTCTACTTAGTAGAATCAAATAGACTGTCGTCACTAGAAGAAACTTTAGAGCAGTAAGTTTCTCATTTTTTCAAAGAATAAAACCTAACGGCAGAGGAGTTGAGATTTGCTAATATACAGCAAAATATGTTTACTTAACATCTTTTGTAAACATGAACTATTATAAACAGAAATTTATCTCATATTGTTATCAAGCTGTATGTAAAAGACAACACAGTAAAAAAGAAAAATGTTAAGTAAAACTGTCTCACCAGATTGTTTTACTTAACCAGAGTTAGAACCAGAGTTAGAAATAAGGTTTATTGATAAAAACCATGAATAGAAATAAGGTTTATTGATTTTCATTTCTAGAATATCAATTTTTCTTTCAGGAATAGTATACAGAAAAGTAGAATAAATGGCTTTTACACTTATAATTACCTTGACCAGTAATGGTAATTGATAATAATAATCACAACCCTCAGAGTTTATCCTTTGTGCTGAAAATTAAGAATGATACTCTGTACACCTGGAAATGTGAACCGGCCAATTAACAAAACAAATAGATGGACAAAAATAAAGGCAAATCCGTGAGGCGAACAATGTTTTTAAGTTTCTCAAAAACAAGTATTAAATAGCAGAGAAAGTGAAATTGCCATTTATTTTCTAATGATTACATATTAGTCATTGTTTCTACATGAACACTTCCTACTATTTGGTACATTGCCCGGTAAAATAGATTATTAATATTTTGGCTGTTTTTGCTTTTGGCTATTCTGAATAATGCTGCTATAAACATGGGTGTATAAATATTTATTCACATCTCTACTTTTAGTTCTTTTAGGTATATACTCAGTAATGGAATTATTGGATCATAGGATAATTCTGTTTAATTTTTTGAGAAACTGCCATACTGTTTTCCATAGTGGTGGCACCATTTTACACTCCCATAAGGGTTCCAATTTCTGTACATTTCTGTTAATACATATATATATTTTTTTTATAACCTAATGGGTGTAAAATGCTATCTCATTGTGTTTTGGTTGCATTTCTCTAATTAGTTCTGTTGAGCATTGTTTCATGTACTTATTAGCCATTTGTATATCTTTTTTGGATAAGTAAATGTTCAGGTCTTTTCCCCATTTTTAATTGGGTTGTTTTGTTGCTGTTTGAGCTCATCTTTTAAAATTTAGAAATGACCCCCTACTTATTTGTAGAAGCACTTTTACCTCTTTGAGATGTTGATCCCTTACTGTTCTATTTTGTATTATTTTCTTCTTGTCTGTGTTACACTTCACTTACAGTATGTTTGGTTTTGATGTTTTTGGTTTTATGTAATAGCTTCTGTCATTTTTTTTCCTTTTTGCTTTGTAGGCCTTCTATCTTTTTTTCTTAACAAGGGTTTTGTACTCTAATATTTTCTTTACCATTCACTGATGTGACATTCCTTATAGGGTAATCAACAAACAGGTATTTACTATATAATTCATGTGTAGTCTAAAATTTACTATATATTATATCTTGTAGGTATAATTTATTTTATCTATTTATTTATTTTTGAGACAGAGTCCTGCTTTGTCACCCAGGCTGGAGTGCAGTGGTGTGATCTTGGCTCACTGCAACCTCCGCCTCCCAGATTCAAGAGATTCTCCTACCTCAGCCTCCTGAGGTACTACAGGCACGCACCACCATGCCTGACTCATTTTTGTATTTTTAGTAGAGGTGGGGTTTTGCCCTGTTGGCCAGACTGGTCTTGAACTCCTGACCTCAGGTGATCTGCCCACCTCAGCCTCCCAAAGTGCTGAGATTATAGGTGGGAGCCACTGTGCCCAGCTCAGTAGGTATAACTTATTAAATGCTGTGTTCGTAATGGACTCTGGACCTTTGTTGCTGCCTTAACCATCCAGAATTGGAGAAAAACTTTTCTCCATATCTGATATTTGAGTCCTTTAGTTCTTTGCTTAGAGGGTAGTTACTTATCACATGATATAACTTACACAAGCACACATTACTTTTTAATTTAGGCAGATTTTTGTTAAATAAATCATATAAATACATTGTTTTAAATAAAAATTAAAATCCCTATTTATGATCTCTTTGTACTCGAACCTATCTTAAAAAATTTTTTACCAAAAATTTTCATTGTGATTTTTTAACTTTATGGTAGGACTGTTTTATTTAACATTTTTATCCTTTTTATTATATTGTCTTTTACATACAGCTTGATAACAATAGGAGATAAATTTTTGTCAATGCATTTGTTTATAATATTTCACGTTTAAAAAATATGTTATGTAACTTTATTGTTGTAATTAGTTGGAGGTTAACCTAAAATTATTAAAATCTATCCTTAAAGTAAATTATGTATGGTTCTATAAATTAAGAACTTTACTTTGGGTTACAACTAATATGTACTAAGATTTTCTTAAACAATGAAGACATAATTAAGTTAAATTCCTTGTGTAGCCAAAAATTGCACAAATGGTTATGGAGTTTTTATCTACCTAATAATTTGCACTGTTTTCATCTAACAAGTCTCTTCATTTGAGAAAATATAGTGTAGCTTTTCACGGTTGTAGTTACCCACAGTCAACTATAGTCCACAAATATGCAGTGGAAAATTCCGAAACAGACAATTCATGAATTTAATATTTGTTCCATTCTGAGTAGTTTGATGAAATCTCATGCCATCCAGCTCTGACTCATTCAGGATGTAAATCATCCCTTTGTCTAGTGTATCCAGGTTGTATAGGATACCTGTCTGTGTTAGTCAAAACTTAGTAGCCATCTTGGTGATCAGATTGACTGTCTCAGTATTGCAGTGCTTGTGTTCAAGTAGCCTTTATTTTACTTCATTGTTCTATTTTATTATTATTGTTAATTTCTTACTGCCTAATGTATAAGTTAAACTTTGTCATAGGTATGTATGTTTTATAGGGTTCAGTTCTATTTACAGTTTTAGGCATCCATTGGGCACCTTGAAAAGTATCCCACGAGGATGAGAGGGATCTGCTTACCGTATTTAGAAAATGTAATGACATTTCTGATATTTCAAGTTCTCATGAGTTCTCTTGTCATTACCCAATGTTTTTCTTGTATATGTGGATATATTTAAATTTTGTTTATTGCCATGTTATTGACCTTAATGATTTCCAAGATAACATAGATACTAAGAGGTGCTTAATTATACTTCTTTAATATTATAACAACCAGGACATATATTTTAACTCTGTGTAAATCATCTAAAGTTATTTCCATGTGAGTGTATTTTGTGTAGGCGTATTTCTGAGTGGGACATTTACAGTGATAAAGAATTACATAATATCTTGAATTTGGGAAATAATTGACAGGTATTTTAAAATATATTCATAAAGCAGTAAAGCCTCTTGTGTTATATTATCTTTAAATTATAATTAATAAGAAGGTTTTCTATATGGCTGTGTACACATTATCAAAATTTGAACTTTTAGTATAAAAAGTTCGACTATTTCTGTCAATTATTGGTTATGTTGCATTAAAATTATAATAGTGAATGTATTGTATTTAAAAAAAAAAGAAAGGACCAAATGCCATATATTTGGAGTGGAAATTTGAGCCATAGTTGTATATACTTACTTTTGCAAGAAAAACCTGTATAAGATACCCTAATAGTTTAGAAAACTCTAAATGTCACAGTCAGGGATAGGTATGACATTCAGTAGTATAAACAGCAATATGTACGTGAAACGTCCATTAACGTTAAGTAATTTTTTTTTTGGAGAGTAGGAAAATGCTAATGTAAACGAACTAGATTCTGTGCCCATTTTACTTCTAACTTAATATTTTCATTTTAACCAATTTTCTCCTATTTTTTAAATGGGCTACAGGACTAAACTAATAATATTAGTTAAAATAATTATACAAATAATTCCTATGTAAACTACTTTTGGTGTGAAATTAGAGTGAAGAAACTTTTTATTATGATTGAGATTTTTTTCTTTTCGTTTCTGATGCCATCCATTTAAGAATCAGCGTTCCAGAACAGTTGGTATAACTTTGCATGTTTCTGCCTGGTCGTGACAAATCAGCCACTATACACTCACAGACAGCAGTACAGTACTTGTCACTGGTGGCCTTTCTGTGACAGAGAGCCTGAAGACTGACATAAAGCACAGCCTGTGGTGAACTGTCAAGTGAGTCTGCCAAAAACTCAGCAGACAGAACTAATTGCAGAGAAAAAGGACTTTTGTGCCCTCTTCTCTTTCTTTCCTTTCCTTTTAATAAGACAGATATTGTTAAAGTAGCTTGTTTATGTAAGATTTGTCTGTCTCTCTTCTCATTGCCTGGGTCCTTTTTTAATTTGAAGTCTTGTACTGCAGGTTGTTGAGCACTTCCGCATGGAGATTGGCACAGGACCAAACTCAAGACACGCAACTCATAACAGTTGATGAAAAATTGGTAAGTATTTTCTACTACACACTGCTATGATTCTGCCTTCAGGGTTATTTTTATACTATAGATACTCAGTATGGTGTTATCAGTTTTCAGGAAAGTGATTTGAATTTGAATCTAGAAATCTAGAAATTCAAATTTAGGTATATTGCCTTAAAATACCTAAATTTTAAGAAGAAATATTTGTCATAAAAAGATAATTTATATTAAGCATTATGTAGAAATATAAAATCATATGCAAATATTAAAATTATGAAAGGCTTTCATTTTTGTGGTGTTTATAACTAGCTGGTAGACAAAACATTCATTACTTTTTGTAATGAATGTTTTGCTTTTTGTTTTCTCAGTTACACACCTGTTAAGTTGTGAGGTAATTACTAGTACTATCTAAAACTAAGTATATTAGGTTTTCCTGGAAGCATGCAACATTTATTATCACTGTATATATACATATATGTGTATATTATCACTGTGTGTATATATATATATGTGTGTGTGTGTGTGTACATATAAAAACTCATACACATTTTATTTCTTCATATGTATGAGAGATTACAACTAGCAAGACTAGCAACAAATGAGTAATAATATTCTGTTAATCAGTAGCAAACAATTTTGGCAGCTATCACTTACAGAATTTTTCTGAGTGTGATCTGTTACTTTATATGAAACTTGATATTTACACTTCAATAGCATACATTTTGTAATGTTTCCAAAACTTCTGATAGAAATGTGTAATTGTATATATGTGCTTTTCATTTTATATCTGGTTTATTATTATCAGATACTGTATATAGGTATGTTTCTTAGCTGCCCTTTCTGTATCATTGTACAGTATTTTATCACTGAACTTTGAGCCTGTAAGCAAAATCTAAGTAATAGGTCACACTTAAATTTCTATTTGCACCATTAAAGATACAGACAAATAAATGTATAAGTAAATAGAGACAGTTTGGAAAATTCACATCTTATGCTGATTGGTTTTATTTTAAAGTTAATCTCTTAGGCCTACCTACTGACATTGTCATCATCTTGATCTAGGTTACATCCTCTTTCACCTAGATTTCTACAGTAGTCTCTTAATTAATCTCCCCAGATTCTTTAATCTTAATCCAATTAATTTTCCATAGGATGGCCAAAATTGTCATTGAAATGCTGGTTTTGTCACCCTCTTTGCGTCCTTTGGGTGCTTCCCATTTCCCTTAAACATTAAAATCCTCACATGGCCTTTGACATCTTGCATGATTTAGCTCCTGCCTTCCTCTCTAGGTTTATCTTGTGCCACTATGTTTTTTATATTCTGTGGTCCAGCCATGCAAGCCTGGAACTTGCTATTCTTTTTCCTGCTTCAGGGCGTTTAGAGTTCCTGTTCACTCTACCTGGATGCTTTTTACTAACCCCGAGGTCTTCATCCAGTTACCATCTATCTATTCTTCAAATGTTAATCAAACACCACTTGCTTAGTCAAGTATAAAAGAAATGAGGGGCCAGGCATGGTGGCTCACACCTGTAATCCCAGCACTTTGGGAGGCCAAGACGGGCAGATCACGAGGTCAGGAGTTCTTGACCAGCCTGACCAACATGATGATACCCCATCTCTACTAAAATTACAAAACATAAGCCGGGCATCTGGGCATGGTGGTGGGTGCCCATAATTCCAGCTACTCAGGAGGCTGAGGCAGGAGAATTGCTTGAACCTGGGAGGCAGAGGTTGCAGTGAGCAGAGCTCACACCATTGCATTCTAGCATGGGCAACAAAAGTGCTCCATCTCAAAAAAAAAAGAAAGAAAGAAAAAGAAACGAGACAGTTTCGTGTATGTGAGACGAGGATGATTATCACATCCCATGTCTTCATTAATGAGGACGATTATTTTAATTTTTCCTATGAGCATCTATTTTAGCTCTCAGGAGGTTACCTTCTTTTCTATAAAGTTTTCAAATTTGAAAGTTTACTATTAACTCTTATAAGTTCTCTTTTTTCTAGTATGAAGAATGAGTGAGTCAGCCAGTAACACATTGTTCTAAACAGAGTGCTGTGAAGCATACCAAAGAGGTAGACAGACTGGTTTGGTTTGGTATTTTTAATTATATGTCATAAAATCAGTTGCATACTGTTGAATTTTCTTGCCTTATATAGATTTTCCCCAGCTTTGTTATATCTTTCTTGAAGTAATAGTTGTCTCTCAGTACCGTAAGGGGGATTGGTTCTAGGACTCCCTTTAGGTACCAAAATCCATGGTCTCATGTTGCTATAAAGAAATAACTGAGACTGAGTAATTTATAAAGAAAAGAGGTTTAATTGGCTTATGGTCCTGCAGGCTGTGCAAGCATGGTACTGACATTACTTGACTTCTGAGGAGGCCTCTGGGAGCTTTTATTCATTGGTGGAAGGTGAAGCAGAAGCAGGCACATCACATGGCAAAAGCAGATGCAAGGCACGGGGTGGTGCCATACACTTTTAAATAACCAGATCCCATAAGAACTCACCATCACTAAGACGGCACTAAGCTATGTACGAGAGATTTGCCTCCATGACCTAAACACTCCCCATCAGGCCCCACTTTCAACATTGAGGATTACATTTCAACATGAGAGTTGGGTGGGGACAAATATGCAAACTATATCATGTCTCTTATATAAAACGGCATAGTATTTACATATAACCTATGCATATTCTCCCACATACTTTAAATCACCTCTAGATTACTTACAATACCTAATACAATAAAAGTGTTATACTGTATTGTTTAGGGAATAATGACAACAAAAAAGGAGGTATATGTTCAGTACAGATGCAACCATACTTCTTTTTCTTCAAGTCTTTTTGACTTGCAGTTAGTTGGTTGAACCCATGATACAGAACGCACAGATACGGAGACCTGACTGTAGATCAGGCTGAAAAGTCACTATGATTTGCAAGCTGAAATCAATTGGTTATTATCTTCGGTACATGGCAGACATTTGCTTGAAAATGAACCTGTCACTTCAAGGAAGTGTTGCCAATGAGAAACTTCAAGTGCAATGTTAAGTTTTTCAACCCTTGCACCCCTCTCTACCTCCCAGAACAGTCTTTAAATACTAGAAAGACGTCAAGGTCAATCACATCAATGGCAGATTTAAGTTCTATAAAAATTCTAACATTGGGTACTATGCTCAGTACTTGGTTGAAGGGATTTATCTACTGCAAATCTCAGCATCATGCAATATATCCAGGTAACAAACATGCACATGTTCATCTTGAATCTAAAATTAAAAATTGAAATTTTATTTTTTAAAAAAGACTATTCTAGTGGGATTGGTAATGGCATTAACAGATGTGATTTTTGATACTGTGTAATGAACTTTATTAACATTTCGAATATCTGTATACCTCTGTGAACCAGTATTTTCTGTATGATCATTGCACAATATAAAATCATACATGGGTAAAAGTTTCCTTTAAAGTACAAAACAGAACAGTGGGTTTTAAGGTAATCAAGTATGAAAATATTGAGGCTATCAAAATTTTGCTCCTTTTTCTAACTATATATCTGTATGATAACAAGTTTTCTTCATATATTGCAATGAAAACAATCCACCACAACAGTTTGAATGCAAGAACAGATGTTAGAATTCAGCTGTCCTCCATTAAGCTAGATATTAGATTTTCAAATGGGTGCCAAAATGCAAATGAATGCTAAAATGCAAATGAATGCCACTCTTCTCACTGTTTAGTTTTTGAAAATAGAGTTTTTAAAATTAAAATCTTTATATTATTATATAACTGGCTTATTTTAAATTAAGTTTCTATTTTTTTCTTCATTTTAATTTATTATGTGATAGATATCTATAGATATACAGGCATACTTTGAAGATATTGCTGGTTTGGTTCCAGAACACCACAGTTAAGCAAATACCACAATAAAGTGAGTGATGGAATTTTGTTTTGGCTTCCCAGTGCATATAAAAGTTATGTTTCTACCACACTGAAGTCTGCTAAGTATGCAATAGCATTATGTCTAAAAAATAATGTACATACCTTAATTTTAAAATACTTTATTGCTCAAAAATGCTAACGATCATCTAAGCCTTTAGGAAGTCGTAATCGTTTGACTGGTGGAAGGTCTTGCCTTCATGTTGATGGCTGCTGACTGATGGGGTGGTGGTTGCTAAAGGTTGGCGTGGCTGGGTAATTTCTTAAAATAAGACAACAATGAACTCTTGACACACTGATTGACTCTTCCTTTCATGAAAGATTTCTCTGTAGCATGTGACACTGTTTGATATCATTTTACTCACAGTAGAACTTCTTTCACAATTGGAGTCAAGCCTCTTAAACCCTGCTGCTGCTTTATCAACTAAATTTATGGAATAATCTAAATCCTTTGTTGTCATTTCAACAACATTCACAGTCTTTATCAGGAGTGGATTCTATCTCAAGAAATGACTTAGCTCATGCATGAGAAGCAACTTCTCATTTGTTCCAGCTTAATCATGAGATTGTAACAATTTAGTCACTTCTTCAGGCTCTCCCCACCACATCTGCAGTGACTTCCTCCACTGAAGTCTTAGACTTTCAAAGTCATTCATGAGGGATAGACTCAATTTCTTCCCTTTTTTTCCCACCATATTGAATCAATATTTATTTCAGGACATGACATGTCAAAATAAAACAAGTCAGCCCTTGCCTTTAACAATTATGTCGTATTATAAAAGCACTTTACATCTCCATCCCATCTTAAAGTTACTGGTATGTGGCTAATGATTATCTATAAGCATTTCTCTATTCAGATCCATAATCCAAGTGCTCTCTGAATATTACAAGGTGACCATAAGTGGGACTTGAAGGAAGATGAGGAAAGAGAGGGGACTAAGGTTCTCCCAGTTTAAGGTTTTGGATTCAACTTTCAAATGCAGGTTAATGTTGCTATCTTCATCGCCTCCTATGAGTCCCAAATTTTCTTAGCGGCATCTTATATGGTGAATCCTTTCTAGGAGGTTGTCAAGCTACTTTGTCTAGAACCACC